GGCCCCAGTGCAAAAACACGCCCCCAAAGCCCGGGTCCTTAGGCACCCGGTTTTTTTTCCTTCACCCCCCCCCCCAAAAACCAAAAAAAAGGTTCCCACGGGCCCCCCCCCCCCCCCCTTTTTCACCTTCTCCTGGCGAGCCTTCTCGACGACGTACTTGGCACGCTCCGAGTCTTGTTGGGCAACCTGTTGGGGGCAATCAGACGAAGACGCGCGCGGGGTTATCGTTTTTTGCCTCGAGAAAAATCAAAGCTCAATCGAGTGGTTAAGGTATAGGGAGGCGGCCAAGAACAGAAAAGAAACGTGGCAATCAGGCGTGAGCCTGGGCAATATGTGCTTCGCCTCGGAAAAATCAAGGATCATCGAGCGGCGAAGGTACAGGGGTGGCCGAGAACATGAAACAAGCGCAAGCACAGCAGGTGAAGAGGACCAAGTGTTGAGCCGGCGTTGTCCCGTGACCAGTCTCCAAAATGACACTACCGTCGAAGTGAAAACGCCAACACGCTTGGGAGACTTCGGAATCGAGGCTCGCATAGCGCCCGACAAAGAAAGTACTGAATCGCCATTTTCAGCCAATCGCACCTGTTATCGCCTGGCCGTGGCTTGAATTCTTCTGATTCCCAACAAAAAAACGACAGCTTTCTTCCGCCTGTTCGACAAAGAACCTCCAATCAATATCGCTGCGTTCGTCGGTCGATCGCTGTCACCTGCTTGGCCTCGACGGCAGCCGTGTACTCTCTGCTGAAGCTGAGATGGGTGATGGCCGTGTCCTCCATCACGATGCCGAAGTCCCCCGCCCGCCTCTGCAGCGCGTCCCGGATGTTCTTGGAAACGGCCTGCATAAAAAAAAACAAAAACATTACAAAAACAAAAACATTAAACGATGACACGGAAAAACGCCGGGATCGATGGGACTGCCTTCGCGAGGAATAAAGTCGATGAGAAAATCGAACAGGGAGGGGGTACACACACCATATATCCCTACCCCTATTCCTGTCCCAACTTGCCCTATTACATGCTTCATCTAGCATGTTTACGAAGGCTGCTTGATCGATACTGTAGATGTGGGCAACCCAAAGGCGTGGGGCACGTGGTTGGCACAAGGACAAACCAAACCAAGGCAGGAGACAAATCGCGCCACCCTCCGCCCCCCCGGTGTTTGCCATCGGGGTTTGGGTTTTCGTCGCTTGGCAACGACGTTGTAAAACAAGCCCCCCACTCGGTGTTTGCCATCGGGATTGG